TTMATTCAGAGGCCAGTTGACCAAACCAACGTCAACTTATATACAAGTCAGCTGAAATAATTTACATGTAATACTTTACAACTAATTGCAGCAGTGGTAGATTTAGGATATTTCTGAGTCCATCAAAGGGCACCAATGTTCATAGAGAGGGCCAAGTATTTGACATACTTGCACACAAATACCCAGTGTTCAAATACTTGTAATGGAATGTAATGCCATTAAAGAAGCTTGCGCATACATGCATTTTACTGAACAAAGTGAAAATACTCTCAAACACAGTATGTGAGAAAATCCAGCCATTGTTTGTCAGTTGATCAATGCCCTTGTGGCCCTGCCCCTGAATTGCAGCCCTGTGAAATACCACCTTCAGGAGCACTAAGAACAGGTTCATAGTCAGCTCTTTTTGTTGAGCTGAGCCAACAAGCATGTACCACCAGCAAACTGTCCAGTGGTCTTTTTAGGAGGAACAGAGCCTCTCCCTGTTGTCATGGTGTGTCTGTTTTTGACTTTATTGTTTCAGGATCCTGGATTTTGTTTTCCTCCTTGAGTTTATTCCTTTGCCACTTCTCATTTCTCCCTCTGTCAGATCTTTAGGGTTTTCCTTCTGTTTGATAACCCAATTACAGCTGTTGCCACTCCCCAATCAACATATCAACTGCCTCTGCAGTATGTATTCTGTCCCTGTCCACATTCACATCAGTTCTGTGTTGTCTGGTATCCTGGTGCTCACCGGTCTTCTTGCAACTYCCTGTGTACCTCTTTATTTGTAAGTGTGCTTCCACAATGGATTTTTAATTTGTTTATTAAATAAGTTTAGTCTGCATTCTGGGTCTGAATTGCTGCAAAATCCTGATAACTGTATTTTTATTCTCTGCTCCTGATGGACAGAGTGGAGTCGTGTGTGTGTTGTTTTGTCTTTGCCTGCTGCAGGTAAATCAGCCCAAGTGCCACACCCAATCACAAACACACACAATTGTATGTACCAAAACTTTTCAAACAACAGCTGTTCCTACTTCAAATTCATTTTAAGCATCTAATGCACCAAGTAAAGACCCTTTCAGTCACCATTGTACTGTTTTTATTCAGTCCAACATGCCTCACAGTAAGTCAAATATTGCCTTTGTGTTTTTCCAAACTGTCTTTCTCAAAAAGTACAATTTACACAGAGGCATTCACATTATGTATTAACTTTAGTGAGGTATTCATGTTAAAACATAACACATACTGTATGTCTTTAATCATTTTTAGTTTTGGTAAAAACATTTAAGGTCATTAATTATTATATTCTGAACAACACTTCTCTGTTGTGCATGTATAAGCTAAAACTCTATTGGT